AAATCCAAGTATCGTTTACAGTTTAGTGCAGACAAGATTTGTAATTTAAATTGCGTGAGGAAAATTTGGAAAAAAATCATGAGTATTTAATTTAGTGTCATTAAAATTTCATTTTGCACCGAATTATCATTTTCAAAATCATTGGCTGTTGATAAATTATTATTAATTTATAAATTAAGAATGATAATTGTTATTAATTGATTGTTTATTATTATTATAAATTATAGAAAATTCTCGTAATTTGCAAAAATTGCAGTTTTTTAATTATTTCACTGGAGAGAAAAATAGCCAAAGTACTTGGATGTTCTTAAAATAGAGCAGTTTCCCGAGCTAGACGAGAAAAAAATGAAATGAACGAAGGGGGGAGGGGAATATTGGAGTTGAACGCACATATGTCAAAACCACAGGGCCATTTTTTGCCTGAGATTCTTGCCCCCTCTTTTTTTCCCTCGTCCCTCACTTCTTCCACTTTACTAAACAAGAAACACTCGAAATTTGTCCGTTAGAAACGGTCTCGGAGCGTGGGAAGAAAGATGAGTCTATAACGCACACAAGTTGCGAATCCTTGTAAGGAACCGTTGTTACTTCCTGAAGGCGTAGGTCCTTGCGCACCTGACGTTCGTTTTTACCGTGAGAAAAACCATTCACACGAGGAGAGGCCATTTAAAGTGTTCCCCGAGGGTTTATTCCAGCCACTGAGCGACGACACGCGTAGAGCACACTTATTTATCTCGGGGTTTTTCTCGGGAAAAAAAAGAGGAGAATAGAAATTTTCCTCGATTGTCCCCAACGCCGTGTTTTCCATGCGGAGAAAAAAGTTGGAGAAAAATTATGGAACGAGTCAAGTAATGGTGGGGTAAACTCCAATTTTTACTGAGCCGTCCATCTTCCTATAGGGAACCCAAAAGTGGTTTTAAGGCTCTATCTCTCATAGTTTCCGAGATAATCGCGAAAAACGAAATCGCAAAAAAAAATTAATTTAATTTATCTGGTATATGGTGTCGGAAGTGGAAAAACGCAATTCTGAGCCGTCCATCTGCCTAAACCAACCCCAAATTTCCTCAGGAATCGAATGGAATAGGTTTTAAGGCTCTATCTCTTATAGTTTCCGAGATAATCGCGAAAAACGAAATCGCAAAAAAAAAATTATTTAATTTATCTTGTATAGGGTGTCGGAAGTGGAAAAACGCAATTCTGAACCGTCCATCTGCCTATAGCGAACCCAAATTTCCTCAGGAAGCGAATGGAATAGGTTTTAAGGCTCTATCTCTTATAGTTTCCGAGATAATCGCGAAAAACGAAATCGCAAAAAAAAAATTATTTAATTTATCTTGTATAGGGTGTAGGACGTGGAAAAACATAATTCTGAGCCGTCCATCGGCCTATGGGGAACCCAAATTTCCTCAGGAATCGAATGGAATAGGTTTTAAGGCTCTATCTCTCATAGTTTCCGAGATAATCGCGAAAAACGAAATCGCCAAAAAAAATTAATTTAATTTATCTGGTATAGGGTGTAGGAAGTGGAAAACCGATTTTGGCGAATGTCGACTTTCCTCTGAAAAATCCAAAATGACACTTCGGCCCCAGGTGAGAAAAAAAAATTTCTATTTCGACATTTCTGGCGCCTCCGAGTGTTTAATTAGCATCAGAAACATTAATCGTTATAAGAATTAAGGAATGTAATCGAAAATAACTTTCATTTTTGAGGCCTTGCAGAGGCTCGAATAAGCCTTGACGTACTGAGCCTCAATACTCAAAGCCTGGGCTAGGCCTGAATTGAACAATTATCTTTCGTGCAATTATCTTTTGTACAATAAAATTTACCACAGTTTTCTAGGCAATTTTCTCTTCGTGCATTTTAAGATTTCAAAGGTCTTATCTCTCCGTGGATAATTATGAAAAAAAATTAATGCGATTTTTTAAACGTTTTTATGACGTTTGATTTAAAAAACTGTGGCGAAAAAAAAAACAAGGCATTTTTTTCTCTCTCGAAATAATTGACATGTCACATACCCCATTCACGATTACGGGACCTTGTCGTTGCTGGTTCCGGCAGTGTCCACCAGAATGACAAAACGATAAGTCGCCTAAACCAATCCCCCTTTCCCCCCCAGACACATGTACATGCTATCACGCATATTATGTGTACCTTATTGTTTAACACCCGTGACGAGGTTTATTTATACGTGTCTAACAATGTCAAATATTGTCACGCATCCCGTTCCCATAGTACCGACACAATATGCCGATGCGTGTCAATACATAATTCACTATTAATAGGAAATAAAAAACGTTGATGTCTCCAATAAAAATTTATTCACCGAACATATTTTTGAAAATTCAAAATTGCAAACATTTTTTTTTCAAAAAGTGACCCGTTTTGCCCCTGTATTTTCCAAATTTTTCTAAAAATTAATATGCAATTTTTTTTGTCGGTGGCTTTTAAAAAAGGGGCAAAACGTTTTTTTTTCGATTTCACATAAAAAATTGTATTTTGTCATAAAAAATATTTTTCAACGAAAAAAAAAATTTCATATTCGTAATTGGCAATTAATTTATTTTTTTAAATCCCCACAAATTCTTCTCAATGAAAAAATAAAAATGAGAAATATATCCGCTCCTTTGTGGAAACGATCGGTTAAAAATATATATTCGTACGATAAGTGCGGATAATTTCGAATAAAACGCCGTCTTCCTCTCACCCCTAACCCCTCGCACGCATCCGCCAATCAGGGTCCAGTTGTATTAAACGCGCCTCTCCCCCCCACCCCCCTCTCATTGCCAATGAGGGGCTCATATCGTGTGTACAGGCATGCGCGCTGCACGTGTACCCCTTCGACAGTGTGTCGAGTTGTGCCCCCCACCCCCTTCCCCTCGCGGGTCGGTCATAAAAGAGTCGAATTCCTAAAGTTCCCCCCTGAGTCAATTTTTTTTTCTCCTCGTATCTCCGCCTTTTTTTTCCAAGTTCCCACGATGTGTGTTTGCCGGGAGTGTGCGTCAGGTGGCTAGCGCGCTCGCTTGCGCATTCATTGTACCATTTACCTATAGCTTGTTATATGTGTCTCTCTTTATTCCTGTTTACTACGATTCTTCACTCCAATGGCCAGGAGTAATACGGATATTCATTCATAAAATTAATTCTCGTTTGGCGAATTAATTATAAATTTTTCTTTTGAATAAATTATAATATTTCTTGTAAATATTCAGGAAATTGAGAATGGAAACATAATTATTTGAAGGAATATAATTTTTTTAATAATTAATAATCATAACAACATCAATTATTTTTTGAAGAATTAATTGAATTTTTTTTTTCCACAAATAATCATAGTCATTAAAATATTCATGAAAAAATGAGGATAAAAAAATTACTCGAAGAAATATTCTTTTTTGTCGATAATAAAAACCATATAATAATGAAAATAATAATCAGGAAATTTTTATTTAATCAATAAAATGATAAATCTGAAATGTTAAAAACAAATCACTTCACGCGTTGAAAAAAAATCGGTTTTTATAGTGAAATATGAACTCACGTGTCAAAATTTCTCCGAAAAAAAATCTATATTTCATACCGCGCACGCCAACTCCAACCGGACTACCGATTGGTTTAAACTTGTACAGTGGTTTTTGGGACTCTCTCGCACGAGAGTCCATACACTCGGAAGCGTGGGAACGGGCACGCTTGGGCCTTCCCAAAACAAAAACACCACGCGTACAAAAGTGGGCACGCGACGCACCTGACCACGGATAGGAGCGGTGAAGCGCCCCCCCCCTCCCCCTGCTCCAACTCTTTCGGGCCCGCAGCATCCGCCCCCACCTACTGTCTTTTTTCTCATCTGGTTTTATTGGTTCGGTGGTGGGCCTTCTCTCTTTATCACACCCGGGACAATCTGGCTTCCGCGCCGAACGGTTTATTAAGTCGTTACCTCGGGACTCGTGTGCACGCCCACGCATGTGTATAAGGCACGGGGTTATTTACAATTTTTATGAAAAAAGGAAAAATCTTATTTATTGCTTGAAATTTTTTTGAAGAAAATGAATTGAATTTTCGGGTTATTTTTTCGCAGTTGCACAGTTGGCTGAAATTTCAGGTACAATTCTTCGAAATTTTTAACGGATTACAATTGCAATTGAAAATCCTAAGTTTATGGAAAAATCTATGGAAATTGTCAATTTGAGGTCATTTATTCTAGGAAAATTAATAGAAAAAAATATTAGAAAAATTTTGCTGACGCCCAATGAAAACGTCAAATGTCCCAAAATTTCCCGTAAAAGTGTGTAAAAACCTATAAACTTCCGTTATCTTCCTTAAATTCTCAATTTAAAACCTCAACTCGATCCCAACAATTCATGAATGAAATAGATTGAGAAAGACGTCGTTGGGAATCGGCACGTACGTCACCCAAACGCGTACGAGACTGCAATCTCAATAAGAAAATATGTCTATTATGTTGTTACAATAACGATATCAATTCATTGAATGTTACCCAGTCCCCATGAGTGTCCCATTGTCTTCAAGCGTTTATTCTCAATCCTATTTATTTCGTATGTATTTATACTAATCATTAAAAATCATTTCAGCTCAACTCGCCCTCTCCCCGCTCCCCCGAGTAATCATTGCTTTTGGCCGACCCTTATGCCCACTTCCTTCCCATGATTGAATTTTAACCGACGGAAGCCCCAAGAAATCTCTACTATACTCCTTTTGTCACTGGTGGAATGAGACACTGAATTACTCGACGCGCCGTCTGGCCAACTCCCCGAGAATGACACAATAGAGACATTAAATTGTCATAACATTTTATTTTGTCTTTTACGATCGTGAAATTTTATTAATAGTTTGAACCCCGGCGTGGCCATTCCCCTTCAATCATCAGCACTCGTCTCTAAATCACTTCATACATCACGATTTATAATTTGTATATTTCCATATTTCAAATTACCTTTAGCCATTGAAAAATGTTCTCTCCATCAGTCATGAAAAAAAAAAAATCCGGTTGAGTGAAAAATTCGTCATTTATTAATCAATGCTCCATACAATATCAAATCCAACTAATCCTAGAAGGCACTCTCAGCGGCATAAATAAAAAACCCCCCGCCTGGAAATCCCCTCCCTCATGAAGTATCTTAACTCTCTAAAAATTTGAACACAATTTAGTCCCAAGTCTTGCGAAAGTCGTCGCTCCATCAGAGTAATTGAGAAAAAAAAAATCTAGGCAGTATTTTCAAGATGAATTTTCTCGTCACACAGTTTCCTCAGTACTTCGATGCCCTTCTCCCTGTTGTCTCCGTACTTCTCCTCCCATGCGTCGAGTAAAAGATTGTAGTATCTGGGAACATCGAAGAAGTCGAGGTATCCAGCGCTCTCGTTGGTGGGGAAAACCCTCTCAAACCTGTCGGCCTGGGATACCTCGTCCTCATGAGCGATGAGATGTCTCACGTCATCCGGCGTGAGATCCTCCAGGATATCCTCGATGTAATCTTCCCGATCGAGATTGACATAGAGAGCTTGCTTCTGCTTCTCCTGATTGCTCAACGTCATTCTGTCAAGCCTGACATCCTGGCACACAGACTCGTAATCATAAGTTTTGACGAGTGTAGCTGCTTCTTTGTGAGATAGATTGGGGGGCAGCTGATACCCCACCACGTTGAAAAGATTCTTCACGAGTGGTCCCTTGACAGCGACATCAAGAGCTGAGGACGACTGCAATGAAGGCGAGATGTTGACCTCCAGCAGCCAAGGCTTCAAATTCTCATCAAGCAGAATATCAACGCCAAAAAGTTCAAAACAACTGTACCTAGTCGTCGTATTAGTCCTAGTGAGAGTATTAATCGGCGGCTCCCCAGCAATCATAGTCTTCACAACAATATCCTTCACCGAATTCCAAAGCTTCTTCGTGTTGATTCCCTCCTTCTCCAAATACGTCATGAAAGTCTTGATAGTCCACTTGTGGCCGACACAGGAGTCAGCGCACTCGTTACTAGTGTAACTAGCTGAAGTCTTATTAATACTGTAATTAGTGAGATGCATGAGTCGATCGCTGAGGTAATTGATGTCATCGGTGTACTTGACGGAGGCGAATCTCACGAGACCGTCGGGGTAGAGGTAGACCCTGAGGGGATTGAAGCTGGTGACGAGGACGTACAATCGAAGATCAAACTTGGCGCCACCGATTAGCAGCGGTTTGGACAGATACTGCTGGACGATGATGGGACGTTTCTTGGGGATCTGCGACCAACGGTGGACGACCCTGATGCCTGTCCCCCTCGCCGACGCTGGGGGCTTGATGATCCACTTCTCCTTTCCCCCGGTCTTCTCCCACACCTGACGAAAGTTGCGGAGGTCCTGCGGGAGGACATAAGTACGTGGGACAAAGCCAAACTCCTTTCTACCGTGCTTGGATATCAGTCTACTCAAGTTCCTCCATAATCTGTCCTTTCGGCCTATGTGAAAGGTACCTGGGAAGTGATTGACCTTCTGGCTGTCTCTCAGGGACTTGAAGCAGTTGGACTTCATGTGCTTTCCCCAGGTGCCTATCCAGTCCTGGGACTTCTTCACCAGACGAAATCCCGAATTGACGACTGTTCGTCGGACCAACAGCGGTGTCATTGTACTAAGCTTCCACTTCAGGTACTTTGTCACGGTAATTGGGAGGTTGTGGCCCTCGGAGTCGTACGATTGAAAGATTATGTATGGTGGCACATTTGGAAATAGACTTCTGCGGAGTGGCAGGGCACAGGTGTTCTCCTCGCTCGATTCAGAATCCGGAATTATTCGGTTAGAGTCGTTGAGAAATGGCAGCTCGTCCTGCTCGTCGTCCTCGTAATCCTGCTCGAGATCGTCTTCAGTTTCGTCGGTGGGGATGGGGTGGGACAGCTCGTGGTGATTGTAGGTGATGACGTCCATGCTGGTTTGAAGGTCTTGGTGGGTTCAGGGGGGATTATGATAATACAGGTGGCTTGACGTGACAGCGTGACTCGTCCAGGGACGATTCCCTTTCGGACGTTTTATTATGGAAATTGGACCGTGTTCTAGTCGGACAGGAATGGGGAATTATCTAGCGGCTTTGATGGACAGATCTCGACATCACGTGATTGATATCTGAAACAGAAAACCAAAAATTCTCTTTCAAGCGATATTTTTTTACGAATTTGATGGCTTCAATTCGGTGTTCTATATGCATTACGATGGAGTGATCGATCAAGACTGTTTTACTCAATTTTTATCATTGTTTATATCGACTCAAGTGTGGATTACGAACAAGTGTCAGCAGGCAGGCAATCAAGTGGATCCATAAATCATCATTGGAGCGAAAAAAAATGCTGCTTGTCCCCCTCCGGATGTTATGAAAGAGGCCGATTAATTTTCCCATTGATACAACTCACTCGAACAGAAGGAAATTCAATAAAAGAAACCATATAATTTACTGCTCAAACGTGGAGGGATTGGAGGCAAGGATTTCTTATAATTAAAAAAACATTTCACCAAACAATAATTAAAATTGAAAAAGTATTTCGTTTATTCAATAATCAATTGTGCATTTATCAACTCTTTCATCTCAATCTTATTCATCTCTCGTATCAACAAGTGTGTATCAACTACATCTAAAGATCATCTTAAACATAACAAAATTAATTCAATATAATTAATCATTAATGAGAAAATATTGATCTCAGGTACGGCAACAAAATCCCTATCACAGACATTACTTAAAGCTTCATCACCCATACAGTAAGAAAATTCAATCCATCAATAGAAACGAAATTCTGATTCTAAAGAATCTAGTGTGAATATTTGAAAAATTGGAAGACAAACTGATTCGTCGTATAAATTTTCTAAAATCCCTAATTAGAATATAAATTCTTCACACATATGAGTATCCGACGGATTGCGCTGGTGATCCCCCGCCGGGGGGTCGCCCGAAATTTCACCAGGGACGCCAGACAGAGCTCTCAACAGACTCCTCCGACGAACTAGCAACACTGACAGGGCTCTGCGGTGGTGTGTAGACACCCTGTGGTATATTAACCGGGACTTTAGTTGCCACCTGATGATTGCCAGCAGCACTGGAGCCCTCCAGCCGACGTAGACAGCCCCCAAGATGGCGAATGAGTTGTGCACCAGCAGCAGGATGAACAGCAGCAGCAGCGGGTGTTGTTTGAAGGAATGTCGACACCTCTTGTGCACACTGAGTGAAACCCTCCCTGAATCTGTCAGCATAGCTGTTCTCAGGTGTCAACGTCAGCCTCCTGGCAGCTCTCAACGTGTGAAGATGACGCACCGTCAGCTCAAGAATGTCAGCCTTCTCCAGCTTGGCGACATTCTCACCCTCGGCCTGAAGTGCTGTCACCATGAGATCCTTCAGCTCATCAAGACAGCGATTGATACGAGCGCGCCTCTTCCTCTCCAGCATTGGCTTCATAACTTTGCGATACTGATAAGTCCTGGAGACTGGCTCCTCGTACTCCATACCCCCAGCAACAGTGTAACTCGTTGTGTGCGGTGCCATGACTCCAAATTAATAATCGAGAATCACAAATTCAACTTGATTCACTTTGCACTGATTTAATCACAAGGTCACAATGATTTGACAGTCAATGAGACTACAATGTACTTCTCTCGGAGTGCCGAGTAGATGTGAGCTGTATTGTGCCTCTGGTGGGGAACTTATACCAGCATTTATACCCCCAGCTCCCGTTCACCTCTCCTTCCATCCCCACTCCAGTGTATTTCAAGTTAAACAGCTTCGCTGCTCCCCCTTCCCCCTCCACCGTGAAGCATGCTGTTGGGGTATTGGGATTTGTAGCGTCAATGGACATGGGTAAGAGTGAGACAGCTGGATTATGGGTAGACCACAAGTAAGGGCTACCAGCCGGAGGAGCGTATCGTGGGAAGCACGGAGGACGAAACGTTCCCACAGATCGCTGAGGCCTGCTGTGTGCGAGCGCACACCAGGTTTGTTGTAGTTGTATTGAGTTGAAAGTGGTGAACGGAGGGGGGGGGGCAGAGAGAGAATAACCAGAGTGCCCCAGACACACCTGCAAAGGAGGGCCCCCTCTCCCCCCCCCCAGTAGCCCGCACTCTCTTTCTTCAATTGTCGTGCTGTCTCACTCGCAAGCAAGAGTGGCTCACTGGTATCATGAGAGCCGATTGTGAGGAGAGTGCGGCAATGTGAGGATCCTCTACAGCACACGCCACGACGCGCGACCAGCACGAGGATGCCTCCACTCTCCTCTCATCCTCCTTCTTCTCGTCCCTCCGCAGCTTTATCTCACTTGGATGAAATGAGGGAGCTGAACTTGGTTTTGCCGCCTCCAGGAGGGAGAGGGGGAGGGGGGGGGGAGAGAGGAGAGATCACTCCGCGGATATTTGTCTCCTCTCTCTGGTGATGTGGCCACAGCTCTCAGTACCCACCTCTGGACACTTTAGCCTCGTGCAAACAGCAGCCAGGGAATACCGGTCACGTGCAGCACAACGAGATTTCCGTAATTACGATCTCGTGCTATCTCTGACGCCGACTACCAGCGTTACGTTGAAGATTGTTTTGTCTTTTCACGTGTCATCTGTTGGCTGGCAATTCAGCTGAGAAATTGCATAATTGATTGATTGCGATATGCTCAGGGACAATCAGGGCAAATTGTTTGATCACGATTGCTGTTGTTTGATCGGTGGATTATGCTTGAATAATTTTTTTCCCTCGGATTGGCTGGGCTACAAGGCGAATTTAACGGGACAAAGCTGTAATCGGTGGATGTTAATTTAGCGAGCGTGTGGCTGACAGACTTCCTTCAGTCCTCTGCCCACTTCATCTGGCTTCCTCGTTTCCCCCGTTATTGCGTTTTCTCAGAGACGCCTGGCTTCGGGTTTTTTTCGCTTCTCTCTCGCTCTCTCTCTCTCTCTCTCTCTCTCTCTTTCTCTCTCTCTTCACTGAAACCCCCGGAGAGGAGGGAAAAAAGGAATGAAAAAGAATTCCTTTGGTGTACTCGTTGGCTCGTGCTACGGAACGTGGGAATATTCTCAGGCTCCGTTCCACCCCGTCAACACAGGAGGGCCCCCATGAATACAACACCCAGGGGGAGGGAGAGAGATGAATAAAAAAAAAGGAAGATACGCTCAGAGCCCATTGTGCGGCGAAGCGTGAGTCCTCTCTTTATATTGCACGCACCTAAAGTGGCTCGGTGTGTATTAGTACATCAGTGTGCGCCAAAACCGTGGTGGTGAGGAGGGAGGGCAGCAGGAGTAATGTAACCTCAGTGCTGCGACGACCCATTGCCGACGCGTTGTGCACATAATGCGAGACTATTGTGAGTAGCACGGGCCATATTCATGGGACGTCTCCTCGACCTCTTGTGGATGATTCTCACCGTAATGCTGATGGGTGAACCCGTTTTGTCATGTCCTTATGAGTTTCGGTTGAACTCCGCTTCCTGCTGGTGGGGGCTGATGACTCTCGGAGTCAGAGAATTAGTGGGAATGGGAGGACATTGGTAGAAAATTTTGTCTGAATTTTCCGCCACGAATTACGGAAATTTTTATCGGTTTCCAGTTTCAATGAATTTTCAGGAAATCTTGGCATTGATATTAAATGTATATTTAATATTCCGGGGATTCTCTGTGCAAGGGAGCTGGGAAACAATTAATACTTGATTTTTCGGTTCAATTATTCGGTGAAATGTCAGGGAAATAGTGAAAATTGATGTCATTTTCTTTCTGAATATTCATGAAACTTTAATCCACTGAAAATTCAATTAAGATGAGGAATTTCTATTTCACTCCACTGAAAACTCATGAATTTCCGGGAATTTTACTTAGAATTTAAAAATTCATAACTATTTTTCCCTAAATCCGTCACTCTCATGGAATTTACTGTAATATCTTCCACGAAATTTCAAGAAAATTGTAACAGTGAAAAAAGAAATGTCAGGTGTCTAAGACTCTTGAATCAAAACATTATCAATTCGATATTATTTTTCACTGTAAATTCCTCTTAATGACCGTCGAGGAACTCAGTAAATCATTAAGAATATAACAATCAGAAGAAAAGCCAGAACATGAGTCAGAAGAAGAGTCAAGCAAGAATGCGAGATGTCTTCAAAACTATTGAATCAAAATGTTGTTAATTTGATATTATCTCTCTGTAAGTCTCTCCATTTTAATTACCACCTGGACATTTTATTTTCCCCAATCATCCGCACAAGTCTCGTGCCACAACATAAAGCAACGACAGTGATTAATCGGCCTATCATAAACTGTTGCGCTTCTGCGCGGTCGCGCGAGCTACCCGTGATTGCGCAAGTGCAATTGCTGAGTCGTCTCAGAGCGCCGACGGCTCAATCTCTTTTTTTTTTTCATTCTTATTCTCCACCCGGTGAAAGTATACACTCTGAATTAAACGACTGATATGAAAACGAGCCGAGCTTCCGCCGTCGCAGAAGCGTGTGCACCGAGAGAGGATGAATGATAATCCTAGGCTTGTGACGGGTTTCCGATAGGATCGCTGCACGGCTCAACGATTATTACAGATAGACCTTGCTTCAGGAATTAATGAGTAATAATGTAATGAGGTATGGATCACCGGGCTCTTGTGATCGACATCGGGCTGGATCGATGGGGAGATTATTCGGTAGCGGATATTCGACGCTCGATCGTTCTCATTATCTGATCGGTGAGTTTTTTTTTCTCGTGAAGTCTTTGATTTGAGCCTTTGGACTTTTTCATCTAGGCGGCTAATTAATTTTGGTAAAAATTCCGGTGAGTCGACGGAATTCTAGATGACAGATCATATGATAAGTCTGTTTTCCTCCTTCTGCTTCCGAATGAAAGTTTTTTAATTATTAAAATTAAAGTTTCGAATTTTTTATGCAAAAACACCGAAAATATGCAATTTGCTGAATAATTTATAATTTCACATGTAGATATTGTTGATGAGCCCTCGACACTAATCAAAATTTAATTGATATATTAATTTGTAGAGTTTCCGAATTTCTTCATAAATCGGTTGTCCCACGACAACTATTCATCATTGTTTCGATGAAGCGGTACATTTTAATGAATATCTTGGAATCTAAGAGAGATAGCAAAATTTTTCTCATTACCTTTTTTATAACCCTCAATTGGCTCTACAAAAAAGATCGTGACAAAAATTTTCCTATCTCTCTTAGATTGCGAGATATTCGGTAAAAACTGGGCAATACTCAAAATCGACTCAACTCGGTTTACCGCTTCGCTACTGAATTCCTTTTGAATTATGAAGATTTGAGGGATTATTCCAGCGATCATTAACCCTCGATAGTTATCGGCAATCTCTCCATCAATTTTTTCAGTTAATTCTCCCCTAAGCGATCGGTTTTGGGACCTGACAGTCAGCTCTCAAGACCCATCAACCCGCCGAGATGAATGACCCAGTGAGTGTCGGAGGCAAGTGGAGTGAAGAGAGCATCCAATTAACGCTCACTCGACAACAACCGAGGGATACTCCCCATGTTCATGAAACTTTCGAGTACCGCATGATTTTCTCGCCTTCCGAGAGTGCCGCGGATGTCTCTGGGGCATAAAAAAAATTTTCCCAAATATTCCACTGGAAAAACCGTTTCATTTGTCGGTTGATTGAGGGAACCAAATGCACTAAATCATTTTTTTTCGAAACGATCCCTTGAGAATACAGATGCGTCACAAATCAATAATAGTTCGAAAAGTTGTCAGTTTTTGAGATGTTTTGAACTAGATATTTGATCAACAATTCATTTGATCGACTGCAGTGAGTGCCCTAAATCATTTTTTGTCTCTAGAAAGGACTCTAAAAGGATTTTTAAAAAATTATCCGAAATATTCAAAATGGTTTTTCGTTCGATTGAGGAAGCCAGACACATGCCAAATCAATGACAGTTACAAAAATAATCAATTATCAAAATATCAAACCTCAACATTTAGAGGAATTCACTTGATTAACTGCAGCAAATGTCCTCAATCATTTTTAATCCTCAGAAGGATCTCCCAAAGGCGCCAAAACAGTAGAAAAAAACAAGAAGTGCGTTGTTATTATCTCAAAGCGCCTAGTTATCTCCCAAAAACAATCTCCCCCTAATGGCCAACATATCTCTTGACACCCACCCGTGCTCCCCAAAACAGCTTGAATTCCCATCCAAAGACATACGTTTCTTTCACGTGTCTTTCTTCATCTTGAAAAGTCCGCCTGGCACACACATACACCTTTTAGGGGTTGGTTTAGGGGGGCCTGTCGTCATGGCACAGGTGGTATCGCCTCGTGGGAACCCTCGTACTCGAATCTTCCCGTGATACCTCTACTCCTCTCTCACTTCAATTTTTTTTTCTCCCCTCTTCGTCCTCTTTCTTCTTCTTTTTCACGGGTTTTTCTCGTTTCGGGGCCCCTCGTGTGCGCTTGTAACCCCTGTGGGTCTTCCAAAAGCCGTGCAAGTGTGTCAGACAACCCCTGATTCGGTGGGGGAAATTTCTAGGAGAGAGGAGGTAAATAGACGCCTTTCTACCGCCTATGGTACATTATGAGCCTCGTTTGGTCGACTTATTATTGGGCCCTTTGCTTCTTTCAAATTTGGGGCTTTTTTGTATTGGGATCAGGGGAGAGAACGTGACTGAGATGCTGCCCGCCACGTTTTCG